TGTTACGTCAGGTCCACAATCCCTTGTGAACGATTGCCTGAATTGGAAGAACCTGAAATGGAGGTGCTATGGTCTCACTATTAGGCCTGCAAGATTGCCTCGTGGTACTCCTTGTATTATCGTGGGTATCATATATCATCCACCTAGTTCTGACGACAAAGTCATGTTACGTTACTTAACAACAACACTCATCTCTGTAGAAAGCCTCTACCCTGGATGTGGCATTCTCCTGGCTGGCGATTTTAACCAACTGAAGATTCGCCGCCTCTTAACCCAATTTAAAATGAAACAACTAGTCCACACCCCTACTAGAGGTAACAACATCTTGGACCTCATAATCACCAACATGTACCAGATTTATGATCACAATTCTGTTCACTCCATCCCTCCTTTCGGTCTCTTGGACCACAATGGTGTCCTTCTTCGTCCCAAAGTGCGGTACCCTAACTCCAACTCTAGCAGGAAAACCCTGATGAGACGCGACACCCGCCCAAGTAGAAAATACGAACTCGGTAGGTACCTAAGTTCCATCCATTGGCCGTTTCTCGAAGATGTTGAAAGCTGTGAAGTCAAGTTACAACTTCTTGTTGATTTAATTACCGTTGGCGTTGACACAATCATGCCTCTAAAGCGAATAAAATTTCATGTAAATGATTCCCCATGGGTTACCTCTGACTTTAAAGAACTAATCAAATCTCGCCAGCAAGCCTTTTCAAACGGGGAAATGGAAAACTATCGTCATTACCGAAACCTTGTCAATCGAAAAAGGAAAACCCTCCGAAGCAGGTACTTCGCTTCTAAGATCCAGCATCTTAAGCAAACAAAACCAAGCCAGTGGTGGAAGGCAGTTAAACGTATTGCTGGAATGGCGACACCTTGTAGCTCTGAGTCTCTATGTTCCCAACTGCAAATTCCAGGTATTGATTCACTTTCTCCGCACGAAATTGCCGCCATGATTAATACGGCTTTTTTTAGAACCGATGCAAACTTATCAAAGCATTGACCCTCCTCCTCCTTTCGAATCAAACGCTGAACTGCCCCAAATCTCGGTCGAGGCTGTTTCGTCTGTATTGCGGAATTTACCACACAAAGCACCCGGACCTGACGGCATCCCAAATTGGATTCTTAAAGAATATGCCATGATACTTTCCGATCCCATTTGCCACGTTATAAACTGTTCCTTCGCTAATCAAGGTCTTCCTTCCTCCTGGAAATTAGCTGATGTTATTCCAGTACCAAAACAAAGCCCCGTCGAAGATGTCAATAACCACCTTAGACCCATCTCCCTGACACCAGCTATTTCTAAAGTTGCAGAGGAGTTCGCCGTGAAATTGTACGTTGCGCCAGCTGTTCTCGAGATCATCGACCCTAGCCAGTTTGGAGCCATACCGAAGTCCTCGACAGTACACGCCCTTATCTCTATGATCCATCATTGGGCCCAAGCCACGGACAGTACAGGAGTCGCAGTTAGAGTGGTTTTATTTGACTACAAAAAAGCGTTCGATCTAATTGACCACCAAATTCTGGTACAAAAGATCCTTAGCCTAAATATTCCCCGGGGCATCGCGCGCTGGGTAGCTGATTTCTTAACGAACCGTAAACAACGTGTCAAACTTTCACATGACTGCTTTTCCGAATGGGGAGATGTACCTTCAGGTGTCCCGCAAGGCACCAAATTAGGACCGTGGCTGTTCCTGCTGATGATAAATGACTTAAAGATCCAAGATGTTAGTAGCTGGAAATTCGTTGACGACACAACCATATCAGAAGTTGTCCAGATTGAAACGAATAGTCAAGTCCAAGACGCAGTTACATCAGTTGAAAAGTGGTCCACTGAAAATAAACTCCAGCTAAATGCCAAGAAATGCAAAGAACTCATCATCGACTTCAAGCATTGGTAACCTACTCAGTGTTGTAAAACATGTAAAAATCTTAGGTCTGAACCTCTCAAACGACCTCCAGTGGAACGTCCATATTGGTGAAATAATTAGAAAAGCTAATAAGCGTATGTACTTCCTAATTTTGCTAAAACGTTCTAGAGTACCAACTGCGGACATCCGAATTTTTTTCTGTACATGTATTAGACCTCTGTTGGAATACTGCTCGCAGGTTTTCCACCATTCCCTCCCGAAATATTTGTGTGATGACTTGGAAAACGTCCAAAAGAGAGCGCTGGCTATCATTTCCCCGAACCAGTCATATGAACATAACCTGCAGAAGTTTAATTTAACTACTTTAAAAGATAGACGTATGAAGTTATGCGACAAGTTATTCTCGTCCATCAAGAGTTCGGAATCTCATAAGTTACACAATCTTCTACCTCCTTTGCAAGAGGAAAACTACGACATTAGAAAGAAGCGAGTCTTCAATATTCCAATGATACGCACTGAACGCTTTAAGCGGACTTTTATTCCTTCGATGTGCAAGTCTTAATACAATTTGACCTTTGTAGTTAAAAATTTTCTTGAACTGTCTTATATCTAAACTTAGCATCTAATGTAATTTTAAATTCGTGTTGTAATGGCTTATAAATAGATTACGCAATTCAGCTTTTATGAGCTGCAACGTGAACTTTTTAATTTATATATAAGGCCCAAAAGGCCGAAACGGTACCGTCTGTAGTTATATATATATATATATATATATATATATATATATATATATATATATATATATATATATATATATATATATAACCAACAATGAGATGATGGATGTGGGATCTCATTGTTGGTTGTATATGATGGATCTCATTGTTGGTTGTATAAATATTTTACGGATGAAAAGCTCACTATCAGCTACACTGCGCTGACGAGCCCCAAAAGGGCGAAACAGCTGTCCGCAGTTGCTGGTAGTGAGCTTGGGGCACAATTGCCTATAGGCCTTTGCGCTGATTTAAATCTGTGACATGCAGAGATCATGCGTATTAGGTTGAATGGCGTTCTTGTCGTATATATATATATATATATATATATATATATATATATATATATATATATATATATATAATTTCGCTTACCTCAAAATTCCGCAACAGTCTGTTTCATCAGTAAAGAATCATGATTCTTTACTGATGAAACAGACTGTTGCGGAATTTTGAGGTAAGCGAAATTCTACATTTGCTCTATCTTTATGATATTGAGCACTCTCTGCGTTTCGTATACACAAAGTCGTGCGACCACATTAGCATTTAAATGTGTGCTTGGCTGTCGCCGTTGTTATAAATAAATTGTCTCACTTATCAGATCGTGTGTGCAATTCTTGTTGGCGGCGGAAAGTACGAATTTATTTGAGTTATTTCATTTGGTAAAGAACTCTACAAAAGAAGAGAGGGTTCAGAGTCCAGATCGTTTCGTTTCAAACGGCAATTACCGTCTTCTCTTTCGCTCTCTCAGCGAAGCATTGCAAATCGCAAAGTGTTTCGAATAGGCTTATACATGCAACTGCCTCTAAATCTTCACCGCGAAAAGCTCTGTTTTCTTCAGTGCAAGAACAGAGTCAACATCAACCAGAAGATAATTTTCTTGAGGAACATATAACATATCAAGTCTGTTTGAAATTAATGAAACTCAAGTAAAGGTTACTATAGTTTACCCCGCGGCAGTCGTATTAAATGTTGCTATTCCAACACTTCACGACAAGCAATCCCCATTGGCATAACGGCAAAAACATCTCTTTCTTGAAGTAAACAATAAACAGTCTGTTCTTGTTCCATTTTTAATAAAAAAAGTGATCAATTTTCGAATTTTAAGCTTATCGAGAGCCTTTGTGATGAATCAGTGATCTAATTATAGAATAAACAGCAAACAGCCAATCAGAATGCCGCGTTCGTGGGCGAACGCGGAAAGTACAAAATACCGGGCCTTGCTTGCAGGCCCACTATTCTTCCCTTGGGCCTGCATGCGGGCTAGCCTACAAATAAAACTTTCAGCGTTTCCGCCTACATGCACAAGTGACGTTATATTTAGCACGCTACATTCTCCTGTCGGCCGCCAGTTGGTCCGTACGTTAGGATAAAAGCCTTCAAAATAAAATATTTTGGGCTCAAAATACTATCAAAATGAGGAGGAAAGTGAGACGAATCCACTGGCATACGGCCGAAAACGAGAAAACCGACAATTCCGAAGTTATCAAGGATCAAACGGACTGCATTTTTAATTAGTTTAATAATTTTGAGGGATTTGTTAACAATACAATTTCGCTTATGAAACTGCACATTAAAACCTTCAAAACAGTGGCGTGCTGGCAGGGGGGGGGGGGAGCCACGGCCCCCAGCTGACAATTCTTGGGGGGCGGGCGCAAAAATGAAAAGGGGGCGCCGATCCCGCGCCGAATTTTGAAAGTGGGTGGGAAGAAACGCATTCGAAAAAATATAGTTAATTAAAAAAAAGATGTGTCTATAGGCTTATAAACAGACTAAGCGCATAGGCGACAAAGTGATATATTAAATTACAGACTATTTTGTCTAACCGTATTTGTTAATTTGCTACCTCACGGCTCACACGAAGTCATTCATATAGGAACATGATCAGTGATCACACACAATGTCTCATTACCGGAATATTGATCATGTTTCGAAGCGATCACGGGAATTATGCCCTTTTTTGCTGGTATTTATATACCCTTATATTATGCCCTTTATTATGTTTCACGAATCGCGAGAGCGGCGCAAATTAGATAGTTGAAGTCAGTATGATAATGTAAAGTTGTGTACGCAATTTAGTTGTTTGCGCAAGAAACATCATAGATAGATAGATAGATAGATAGATAGATCTGTTGTGTTCTAGTAGCGGAAGTGCGTATAGACGGAAGTGAACTGGTAGCGGGATTCGGGGAAGAGGGCTTACGGGGAAGGACAGACACAGAGACACGAGGCATAGATGAAGCGATGTATATATTTCATAATAGTTTCCTATAAGTATTAACGTTCACATTACATATCTATATTGTTTCTTACAATATAACATTGGCGACGAGGATAACCTCAACATTCGATTACTATGGCAGGATTAGATTTCTCGGGAATTCAACAGTTTGATCCTCATTCAGAGCCAAGTTCGCTGGCTTCGCAGGGGAAAGAATGGCTGCAACGATTCAAACGATGTATAGTCGCTTTTGACATCAAAGACAAAGCAAGGAAACGAGCTCTATTGTTATACCTGGCCGGTCCAAAGGTGGAAACAATATTTGCCACGCTCTCTGATACGGGAGAAGAGAACGACTTCGATAAAGCCATAGAGAAATTGACAGAGTATTTCGCGCCGAAAAAAAACATTCTATACGAGCGACATATTTTTCGCCAAGTCAGCCAGCGATCTGACGAAACAATTGACCAATTCTGTACACGACTGAGACATCGTGCCTCGACATGCGAATTCGATAATGTAGAGGACGAGATTAAAACACAAATCGTGGAAAACTGCAGGTCTAGTCGACTCAGAAGGAAAGCATTTCGGGCTGACCCCAAGCTGGATGATTTGATTAAATACGCGAGAGCACTGGAAATTTCTGATCACCATGCTGAAGAAATGGAAAAGCAACACCGTCAGGAGGCTGTGTATCAAAACACCAGACGAGATTTTCCGCCAAGGGATATAAAAAGTAAACAAGCACAAACTTGTTATAATTGTGGAGGGACGTACCCCCACCAAGGCAGGCCCTGCCCCGCTGCAGGCAAGACCTGTCATAATTGCTCAAAAACTGGACATTTCGCTCGAGTTTGTAAGTCTGAACAAAAACCAATCTCTCGAAAACCTCGAATGCCTCAGGACCAATATAAATCGAAGGCAAACAAGTTGAATGCTTTGAACCAAAATCGGCAACAGTAACCACTCTCTACTGAGCCAACAGTACAAGGTGAACCGGAAGTAAGCGACAGTGATAGCAATGAGGATATATTTGCTGTTTCGAGAGCCAAGAAAGTGAAGCAACCACCCATGACAAAACTCAAAATTAATGGGGTGAAAGTAGAGTTTTTGATTGACACCGGAGCTTCAGTGAACATTTTGACACAAAAGGACTATGAGTTTCTCTGTACAAATTCAAAGGACCAAATCTCTTTACGAAAAACTAAAACTAGAATATATGCGTTTGGCTCTTCAGAACCAGTTGAGTTGAAAGGAAAGTTTGAAGTTCTAGTTGACTCAAAGCGTCGTGTTGCTGCCGCTACATTTTATGTCACAAAGGGAACTCAAGGCACTACTTCAATTCTCGGTTGTGAGACGTCTACTAATTTGCGTTTGATTACCATGAATGTTAATTCTGTGTCGAAAGTATCGGCTGTCAAGTCGGACTCTGGAACTGATACGAGTAGCTGTGATTTGGATGCGAGTAAAAGAAAAGAAAACCTATTGAAAGGTAGGCACCCTAATGTATTTACAGGAATTGGTAAACTAAAGGGGCATGAACAAAAGATTCACATAAATACCAATGTACCCCCTGTTGCCCAAACGAACAGGCGTGTTCCATTTCATTTACGCAAACAGTTAGACACCTGGCTTGACGATTACTTACAAAAAAATATAATTGAGCCTGTATCTGATGAGAGCACTGACTGGGTGAGTGGACTAGTTCTTGCACCAAAACCCAGAAACCCCAATGAAGTAAGAGTATGCGGCGACTACCGCCAAGCAAACACAGCTATAAAAAGAGAAAAACACCCAATTCCTACAGTTGACGAACTGATGGAAAGTATGAATGGGGCAATTAAATACAGTAAGATTGATTTGAAGGCTGGGTATCACCAAATTCCCCTTGAGAAAAGTTCCAGGTCCATTACTACATTTATTACGCATCGTGGATTGTTTCGCTATAAACGATTACCTTTCGGTATCAACTCGGCCAGCGAGGTATTTCAGCATGCTATCGAGAATGCCATTCGAGGGATAGACGGAGTTCGTAACATCGCGGATGATATAATTGTTTGGGGGTCAACACAACAGGAACATAATTTACGGTTAGAGCAGTTATTTGCTCGCTTAGACGAGTCCGGCTTAACCGTAAATAATGACAAATGTCTATTTGATCAGAGAGAACTTTGGTTCTATGGCTTTCTCCTTACTGATTCAGGCATAAAAGTTGATCCAAGGAAAGTTGATGCAATTAAGCATGCTAAGGAACCAAAGGACACAAAAGAACTCCGTAGTTTCCTAGGGCTAGCAAACCATTGTTCCAGATTCATCAAGAACTTTTCAACTCTTACATCCCCCTTGCGAGAACTTACTGTAGCCAAAGCACCCTATGCATGGACACCTAGACACACAGCAGCATTTGCTGCTATTAAAGAAGCTATACAGAAAGACTGTATCATGCATTTTTATGACCCAAATCAGAAAACATGTCTAACAGTCGATGCAAACCCCACAGGTCTTGGAGCAATATTGTCGAACATTGACAGAGCAGGTAATTTGCATAATGTAGCATATGCCAGTAGGTCACTCACTCTAACTGAACAACGGTATTCACAAACCGAACGAGAGGCCTTAGCCGTTGTCTGGGGTTGCGAACGGTTTCACATGTACCTAATTGGTGCAGAATTCACAATTTGCACCGATCACAAAGCCCTTGAGGTAATTTATTCACCCAAATCCAAACCACCTGCTCGGATTCAACAGTGGGCTCTTCGCTTACAACAATACAAATTTAATATAATATATCGCAAAGGCGAAGGCAACCCTGCTGATCTACTTTCTAGACAACCACTACCTGTAGTATACACTGAACATTGTGACATTGCTGAACAATATATCAATTTTATAGAGAAGAACACCATCCCCAAGGCCATGAGTATCGAGTCCATTATTGCAGCAACTGCAGTTGATCCAGAAATGCAATCAGCGATTGAAAGTATCCAATCGGGTGTCTGGGCAAAGCATCATCCCTTTTATGCAGTGAGAGAAGAACTCGCTGTCACACCAAACAGTCTCTTGCTCCGTGCAAATAAGTTGATCATTCCAACAAGGCTTAGAAATGAAACCATGATACATGCCCACAAAGGTCATCAGGGCATTGTCAAAACAAAACAAGCCCTGAGGACGAAAGTGTGGTGGCCGCGAATTGACAAAGATGCGGAAGAGTTTATTAAGCATTGTCACGCATGCCAGTCTCTCGGGCATGGTGATCCGCCACCGCCTCTTCAACAACACAAATTGCCCTCCAAACCATGGGATAGACTTCACATGGATTTTTGCGGTCCATTTCCCACGGGGGAAACACTTTTTGTTGTCATTGATTCATATTCAAAGTTCCCAGAAGTGGAAATAATGATATCCACTACTGCCAGCGCCGTCACGAATCGCCTGGACAGAATTTTCGCAGTTCATGGCATTCCCACTGAAATCTACTCGGACAATGGTCCACCGTTTGCTAGTGATGCAGTGAAGAAATTCATGCGAAATCGCGGAATAAATCACCGGCTTGTAACACCTTATTGGCCACAGGCCAACGGGGAAGCCGAGTCGTTCATGAAGCCCCTCGGTAAGGCTGTAAAAGCAGCGAAAACGGAAGGAAAGGATTGGAAAGAAGAGCTACATGGTTTTCTGTTAGCTTACAGAACTACATCACACTGTACCACCGGGGTAGCACCAAGTCAACTGTTGTTCAATCGCGAAGTTCGTACGAACATGCCAACTTTTGTAAAAGAGGGGGATATTGATTACAAGATTTTACACGAACAGGCTAAGATAAATACGTCAGAGAAGCAGTCGAAAGCGCAGCAGTATCCAGATAAAAGACGACGAGCTCGGAAAGCAAACATCGAAGTAGGAATGAAAGTTTTGGTGAAACAAGAACGAAAAAACAAATTTAGTACTGTTTTTGATCCAACACCTTTGACTGTAACGAAAGTTAATGGCACAAAGATAACCGCAGCGAGACACGATCTCACTACCACCAGAAACGTATCGCATTTCAAAAGATTTTACTCAAAAGACGAAAGTGCTGATGAACAGGAATGCGACGACAGCGCTAGCGATGTAACGGACGATGAAGATAATAACGAACAGCCACAAGATATTCCACGAAGGTATCCGGCAAGAGTACGAAGAAGACCTCGGTTCTTGCGCGAAGAAACTTAACTGTTAAAATATTGGTACTATTGTTTAGGTTGACATTTAAACCAGAACTATTGAATTTTGGTCATAATTTAGGTGCATGATTGTTTGCATAAGTATATTTCATATTCTAAAGTAAAAGGGAGATGTTGTGTTCTAGTAGCGGAAGTACGTATAGACGGAAGTGAACTGTGTAGCGGGATTCGAGGAAGAGGACTTACGGGAAAGGACAGACACAGAGACACGAGGCATAGATGAAGCGATGTATATATTTCATAATAGTTTCCTATAAGTATTAACGTTCACATTACATATCTATATTGTTTCTTACAATATAACAAGACCGAGCACACGAGGTTATAAAAAGTTTATTATATATGGCATTTATAACTGAACATATTTATACTGAACTTCAGACATCATTTTCTCTTTGGCGTATCATCTAAAATCTCTTCATTTTGACATTATTTTACAGATAAAACACTAAACATACTTTTTGGGTTTGTTTGCCGATTGAGAAACGTATCGAAAAATAAAAATTTTGAATTTAGTCATAACCTCAAGCGATATATTATACGCATTAGTTTTGAGCGCGTGTTACGTAACATACAAAAAAACTCCTCTTAATAAGAAATTAAATTATAATTTTCAAATTTTCAATGCGGTAAACCTCCGAATATAAGCCCACCCGAATATAGATGAGTGTCGCTCATCACTGGTTGGGCTGTAGAGACTCGTCTCGTTCCCAGAATCACAGTCCGCCATTTCACCGGAGGTGATGCTCAAGCCTTGATAAAATATTTTTCTTCCGGGCAGCAGGCTTCGCAGACCAAAAATTTGCTGTCAACGTATGTTCACACTACACTTGAGCAAAATAACGCCAAGAGAATTTATGTGTGTTCACATTGCGCCATTACAGTCATTGTGCCATTGCCATAAATTAGCACTCATGTAAACCCAAAATATTTCATATAGAGCAAAGAAATTTAAACGAAAAGCATTCGATTTTACTGTTTCGTGAGAGCTCAAGATGCTTGGTTTGCAAGCGGTTCAAAAAAGTAACGGCGTTTGTGTTCACAGGAAGCTGTCCCATGTCAAGCGCGCCGTTTTCATCTCGTTTCGTTTAGAAACCATGGCGTATTAAGTGTGAACGACTAGTCTTTTAATTGGTTGATTATTTTATGATCACATGATATTGAATAGTGTCTGACATTCACAAAGGCCACTTACCTGACCCAGATAAAAACATTTCGAATCATACTCTTTGTAGTGTTGGATAACAAACTGAAGATTATCTGTTGGCTTTGCACCAAATCCACAAAGTTCGGACGGGTCAAAATAAATGATCTTGAGTGTTATGGGAGTATTTTCCGGCAACCCATAACTGGTAGATGGAACTTTATAAAATGGTGGAATATCTGAAAATAACAAGTTTTAAAAAGTTGGGTCAGGTTACGGTTAAAGCTTCTATGGGTTATAGTCAGTCGCTTCCAGAAAGTTGATTGAGAAGTTAGGCTTTAACTAATGTCACAATACAAGAATACAAGGCTCCCATACCCAAAGTGACATACTTTCTGGATGGGAGTATTAAATTATAAATAACACAAGAGGAGGCATTGTAATCTTAATTCAGTCAAAAAAGGGAACGCGGCTATTGGGGGAGATCATTAGTCCCGGATGTGCATTGGTGAGGAGTTTCAAATCAGCCAATGAGATTTTATATCCGGGACTTGAATTTGTTCCCCAAATTTAGCAGTGTTCCCAATTTTTAACCTAATGCCTCCTCCAGGGTTTGATATTAGAATTTTCCGGTGGTATCCATTAAGGATACCAGCACTTCAAAATTGGTATCCAAACTGAAAAACTTGTATCCAACTTTGATACGATTAGAGAATAGTGATTAATAATAATAATAATAATAAACATTTATATAGCGCACAAACCAAGACTGTTCTAGGCGCTTTACAGTAATACAAAATCCAATCTTAAAACTAGTGTTAAGAATGTTAAAACTATAGAATACATCATACACTATTTAAAAACAAGTTAAAAAGATATGTTTTAAGAAACTTCTTAAAAATGGTTAATGATTCAGACATCCGAAGATGAACAGGTAAATCATTCCACAATTTTGGTCCAGCAACACAGAACGATCTGTCTCCGTATGTCTTTAGTCTAGAATAAGGAATCTGGAGCAATTCATTTCCATTTGATCGAAGAGTACGCTGCGAAGTACGACACAGCATAAGTTCCTTCAGATACGATGGAGCAAGATCATTAACAGCTTTGTAGACAAGAAGTATAATCTTGAATTGAATACGGTATTGGACAGGTAACCAATGCAATTCGATAAGAACTGGGGTGATATGCGCCGATTTCTTAGTATCAGTTAATAAACGAGCTGCAGTATTTTGGACTCTCTGAAGCTTCTGAAGCAAATATTTGCTAAGCAATTTCGAGGTAGATACTTCTTAATTCTTGAAATATTCCTAATATGGTAGTAAGCTGACTTGCAGATACCATTAATATGTTCGCCCAATCTGATCCACTCATCAAAAATCACCCCCAGATTTCTTGCTGAAACAGTTGGCACGATTTTTTCCTTTCCCACCATGATATAATTTAAGGGAGGCATCAGATGATAGCGTGAATGGACTAATATAAGCTCCGTTTTGCCACTATTTAGTTTCAATTTATTCAACATCAACCAGTTTCCCAATTCAAGTATACATTTCTCCATACGGATCTTAGATGATATTAAATCATCACGATCATTCGTTTTGAATGCAATGTAAAGTTGCCCATCATCAGAAAAAAAGTGAAAGCGCAGATTGTGGCGCCTAGCCACATCCGCGAGAGGGGCAGTATAGAGTGAATACAACAGAGGACCCAACACAGATCCCTGAGGGACACCACAATCAAGATCACTCAATAACGAATCAGTTCCCTCAACACGAATAAACAGTTTCCTGGATGTAAGGTACGAGGTAAGCCAATCCAACACACGACCCCTTATGCCAAAGCGTTTCGATAGTCTTGTTAATAACATTAAATGATCCACGGTGTCAAAAGCCGCCGACAGATCCAGTAGGACAAGAATAACAGAATCACCGTTATCTAGAGCTTGAAGGATATCATTTTGAACCCTCAATAGCGCTGTTTCAGTACTATGACAAGGTTTATAAGCAGACTGGAATTTCTCATGTAGATGATTTTCAGTAAGATAATCAGTTAATTGAACAGCAACTGCTTTCTCAATAGATTTCGAGACAAATTTCAGATTTGATATTGGACGAAAACTGCAGAATTCTTCATAGGAAAGATTGTACTTTTTTAATAACGGTTGAACAACAGCAATCTTCAAAGAGTCAGGCATTGTACCACTTTCCAAGGAGAGGTTGATTATTCTAGCTACAAGGGTAAGATGTCATTAAAACAGTGATTTAGCATGACCACCGGGAGTGGATCCAGAGAACAGGATTTAGTTGCGATACGTTGGATTAAATGGAGCACTTCGTCTTTTCCAACCTCCCTGAAGGTGTGAAATTCATAAGGACATGAATCAGCATCAGGTATAGGAGTTTCTATGTTTTTACTCAAGAGTTCATCTTCGATATCACCTCGTATTTTAACAATTTTCTGAGTGAAGAAATCACTAAATGAGTTGGCAAGTGACATTGGGTCAGGAGAAGATGGATAGCGAATAATCGTATTTGTATGCAGCAAATTGCTTACAGTCTTGAAAAGGGGTTTTTGATCAGATGATCCATTATTAATTAAGTCGGTATAGTAAGCCGATTTTGAGGAGTCGATAAGTTTATTTACAGCATAACATTGTTGTTTATAGCGATTCCAATCAGCATTCGTCCTTGTTTTATGCCATTTTCTCTCAAGTTGTCTCCGAATTCGTTTCTTATCATTGATTTCGTTAGTATACCAGGGTGCCTTAGGGCGCACTGTAATTTCCCGGGATTTAATCGGTGCATGGTTATCTAAGATAGTATGAAGACAATCATACTCATTCACCAATGATACCAAATCCATAGTCGTAAAATTCTTAAGAAGAAAATAATTTAGTACATCCGTTTTGAATTTATGAATATTAACCGCCCGCAAATTACGAAGAAGCAAATGTTTCTTCACAAACTTCGGTTTCCTAATCAATAGTTGTAAATGCACAACTGAATGATCAGAAATCAGAGGATCGAAGATGTTGTAATGGTTAACAATGTTTTCTTCAGATCGCGTTATAATTAAATCCAGTGTGTGACCACTTGCATGTGTTGATCCAGAAATGTACTGCTTCAAATCAAAGGAAGCGAGAAGATCCACGAACCGTTTGGTAAGAGGGTCATTAGGATTGTCCAGATGAAAATTGAAATCTCCAGCTATCAAGAGTTGCCCAGGTGATACAATAATTCCTTCCAAAAAGGATGAGAACTCTTCAAAGAATAGAGTAGATGTCAATGAGTTAGCCGATGAAGGAGGCGGCCGATATACAACAATAATTCTAATATGTAGAAAGTTCAAAAAAGAACTGTCAAGGTAGTCAAATGACCTAAATACCTCCTGTACATTACGCTTAATATTAAGACTTTCCTTGAATAAGAGACCAACGCCCCCACCGATTGATCCATGTCTCGGTGTATGCAGAAAACTATAACCTGTTGGGCATAGATCCCCAATAATCAAATCGTTCCCACTTGGAGGGAGCCAAGTTTCCGTCAAAGCAAGAATATCAGTATCTTTATCCACAACAAAATCTTTAATAATCATAGTCTTGTTTCTAACCGATCTGGCATTAAGAAGGGAAAAATCAAATAAGTTTGTAAGTTCACATTTAGAAGTAGAAGGGACCGTAGGCACAACAATTAGGTTAGAATAGAAACAGTTTATGACCGAAATACTTTGCGGACCAGCTCCAGATGCCTGAGCCAGTCCGTCTGATGTCGATGTCGAAAAACCTGACTCCGGTACGCACGTCTATGTTTATTTACTTTCTCTGGGTTCACTGGCAGTGAGCGGTGAGTGATACGTACTGGAATGCTTCGAAATTGTTGACCACGATCATGTAAATAACTAGAGCAAGATTGCCTACCAGGAACATTATAATGACAGCTTTGTTCTTTTTGAATAGGATTTGTACGGCTTCCCGTATGGGAAAGCTCGCCTATTTTCGACTGTTCACTATTGTTCCTAACAGGGAAAACTACCTTTGTTAGGGTTAATTCCTCTTGTGAGTGATTGATGGATTTTGGCAATGGCACCAAATCATGGTGTGACGTTTTCTCGCATGACTGATCTATAGCCATAAAAGTTTCTGTGTTATCCGGTACTTTTATTGGTGTGAAGCATGCATCGTTAGCGGTCCGAGCAACAACGGGATTAATGTGAGGATTTGAATTACTAACCTCTTTTGTTTT